CTCCGCTCCGGTCGCCTCGCATGACCGATTCCACGCTATCGGTCCTACCTCGTATAGAAATTCATTGGAAAATTCCTTCGGTTGCCGGTGCGAATGGTCCCGCATACGCGCATCGGAAAGATCGATTTGGGGATCAGTACAGCCAGGATGATATCGCAGGCCAGCAGCCAACATCGCTCAGATCAAACTGGAGGCATCGTTGTGGCAACGTCCCCTTAACGTGTGCGTCTCGCGTGCAGATGTAAGCTGCTTTGTTCCTGCGTCGATCCCCGAAAAACTCTATTATTAGCTAGCCCTGCTTACACCTTGGCATGGTGGTGGGGTAAACTGTAGTCTGTACCGTAGCGGAACAACGCACGCGACGTGTTGTCTGATTGAGAACGAACGACGGCTCGGGAATGAGTCGATGATAATTGCCAGTCCGTCTCCCCTAGTGTGAAGCAGCTCAGTACAGCGATAAAGAATCGCGCGAGGAAGCGAGGAGAACACGAAAGTAAATCTCGGTAAGCAACCTAATCGAGTGCCGAATAACCGCGAGCATTGCACTCCAGGGCTCTTAATGCGCGAATTGTTCGGTAATAATTTCTTCCGTCTGATGTTCTCATTGGGTCAGCGCAAAGCTAAAGCCGTGGACTAGAAGAATGCGACGACAAAGCTATTCTTATCGTCTCTTTGTTGACCGGCAACCTATCTTAGCATGAGGATACAGAGTCTTGGTGGTGTACGCTGTACCTGGGCGGGCCAAAATAAGGTAAGGCTCGAGCGAACGCCGAGCTGTCCGCAAAGTCTTGACATGAGCGCTATCGCCGCTCAGGGGAATGATCACCGTCGCACAAAAACCGTCGTGTGTTAGCGCTGCAGAGAAATTTGGGACGGCAGCGTGCGCGTGGCCGCAAGTTTTGTGGGTGTGCTGTCAGGGACCAACCAGGGCCAAACACTGCATGCTTGCCCTGGACGGGACTCGGGGCTGCCGCTTATGACGCTGGAACCCGCTATTTTCTTTATTTGTTGACGGATAGGCGTTGTGGGCTTGGCCAAACCTGGAGTAAGACGGAAAGATGTCGGCACTGCAAATTCTCGTGATCTCGAATGAAAGGCCGTTTCGTGGCTTGAGGGATGAGGAAAAAGTCCGTTCGCGGCGCGCTTCGGTTGGAGGCTGCCGATTTATCTCCCGGCGAATCAGGCGACCATGAGCTCGTTTAATGGCTAGCGGTGCGTTATTGGCGCATGGCTTTTCAATCGATCGCATGTGCAGCGCATGAGCAAAGTTCTGGCATCGCGGCTGACTTTCCTGGAACTGCCAAAGGCGATGGTGTTCTCATTGGCGGGGCCAAAGACTTGGGCTGTGTGTGTATGGCAGCCAATCCTGTGGGAATCCAATACGAGGGCCGCCCCTGGGCAAGGTCTTGGGGGATGAACACATGATCGCCCAACGGATAACAGATCCCAGGCAGTTGGTAAACGTCCTATCGCATTGTGGCGCGCCGTCAGTTGTAAAGCGCATGGTGCCTGTTGGCTAGTTCGGCTGTAAGATCGAGCCTGATTAAACCCTGTTAGCACCAGCGATATGGGCACAGTCAGTATATAGACTCGGGGTGCCCCTCTGACCCTTGGCAGATACTCAGTCGTATCCTTCCGTCACTCGCTTTTACATTCGCGCGACTGCGTTTGCCATTCGTTACTCTTGTTGAAAGTCGCCGGTCATTCAGTACTACACCGTGTAACAATCGTGTAATACCTATAACCATCGCTCGGTACCAGAAGATCTACTACTCCCACGACACACCACATCTCAACAAAATGTCTCTGAAGTTCTTCTCCCTCGCTCTTGCGGCCGTCGCAACTGCGTCGCCATTCGATTCCATGGCGAAAGCCACGAACGACGACCCTTACGAGGCATGCCAGCCGCAAGGAGCGACAGGCGCAACTCCACCAACAGTCGGCACAGAGTTGAGTTCCCTCTATACCGATATTCTCTCGTCGATCCAGGGCATCTCTTTCGACAAGCGATCTGTACACGGACGTGCGGACGGTTTCGGTTGCCGTCAGAGCCTAGACTGCGTCAACGTGAAGAACATCAACATTCCCATGTGCTACGACAAGTTCACCACCAACTTCCAGTTCCCAGACGGATCTTACGGAAACGTCGCTGCCGGAACCTACAGCTCCGGCGGCACCGATGTCAACCTCGTCAGCGGAGATTACACAAAGGACGGCCAGAGCGCCAACATCTACGCGAACAACGAGGCTGAGAAGCCAAACACTTCGACCCTCTCGGTCCCTGCACAGTACACCGGTACTGGTGTTGGTGGAGCAGTCCCAGTCACAGAACTCGGAAAGGTCATCGTCTACACAACCACTGTCCCGGCCGTCACATACTCGGCGCCGACAACTGTCGCGGAGACTGTCGAGACGGCGACTGTCAGTGGAGTAGAGGTCAAAACCACCGTACCCGCTACCACTGTTACGCAAGCCACAACGATCGCCGCTAAGACCAACGTTGTGACACAAACTCCTGAAGCTTCCGATGCCTCGCCGCAATCTACTGGAGCCGCCGGACAAGTGTCAGTCGACACAACAAGATCCTTTGGAATGTCGGTGGTCGGTGCTTTGCTATACGCGCTTTTGTGAGCAGTTTGCTTTCGGGAGTCATACACGTCGCAGTCAGTGAACTGTTTGGATAGAATGGCCTCAGGAGTTGTATTCGAGGCAATCCCGAATGGATGATACCCGCTGGAGTCCTAGCACATGCATGTCGTATACATCCTGTGGCAGTCCAGTATTGATGCGCCACGCTTAATGAATAATATCGTACCCTTGATATGTTTGTCTTTTCTTTCTCTCAATTGAATTTCGACAACACATCCTTTATCTTTCTCACTTCCTCGGCGTCAGCATCTTCTCCAGGCATTGTGATGGCCGCGGAGTGAAACCATTCTATTTTGGTCCTCCTCTTGAGATGTTCAACGTTGGTACTTCTGACCCCACCGCCAGCAATCAATGAGACTTTTGGACGGCACACCTCTTGCAAGTAACGGAGAACACCAGTCCCTTCCTGCGCGGTCTTCTCTCCGCCACTTGTCAAGATGCTCTTGAAACCGCATTTTGCAACGGTCTCCACGGCTCTCTCTAAATCGCCTGTTTCGTCGATTGCACGATGAAACGTGCAAGGAAGCGGAGCAGAAATCTCGACCAGCTCGCGGGTACGAGCCTCGTCTACAAGTTGATTGGCGTCCAAGATGCCAAACACGAAGCCGCTAGCAACAGGCTTAAGCATCTCCAGCTCTTTTTTCATGAGCTCATACTCTTCGTCGGAGTAGTTGAAGTTGCCTCCCCGTGGCCGGATCATAATATTGATCGGGATCGTGACTTCCTTCCGTACATCCTGCAGCGTGGTGAGGGAAGGCGTTACCCCGCCAGCTGCGTAGTCGGCACACAGCTCGATTCGATCAGCTCCGGCTTGAGCTGCTGCGATGGCCGAAGTAGCATTGAAGCAAGCTATCTCAAGCATTATCGTGTTTGTGGGACGGGAATTGGATGCGTGGGGTGAAAAGAGCAGGTGGGCTATGGTGCTAAGCTGGCAGCGGGCTAGTGCGACAAGTAGATTGGCTGACGACACGACTACGCTCACGATAGCATGAAAATCACACTGCCAAAATCTTGGTAACGAGATGAACCACAGGATTCATGCTGTCAAAATGCAAAAGAAAATAATAGACTCAAGCAGCAAGACCTAGCACTGCCTCTCAGAGCGCACATATAAAGCCGAGTTCACCATGATTAACTTCTGTGTTTAGAGGTCCACGCCGTCACCTCACCTCACCGTTCATTCCCCTATAAAGTACGAACGGGCTCACTTCATCGCAAACGCGACGTGAAGGTGAGTTCAAAGCTGCCGATTTCCCATCCCTCCGTGCCCTTAACTACCTCACCACCACCTCCTCTTGCTCTTGACCAAACCTTGCACACCACATCCACTTCTACGCCAGAGACGTATAACACCTTCACACAACCTCGCAAAACGCCGAGAAAACATCCCCAAAATGTCCGACACCGACCCCAAAACCCCCAACAAAACCGGCGCAAGCGGTGCCGCCTGGTCTGAAGGCGAGAAAGTATGTTCCCTCCACACCCCATCCAATCCCAATCGCACCAGCTAACCATACCACAGATCGCATACCTCATCGTCCTCTGTGAAAACGAAGGCAAGATCGATGCAAAGATCGGCGTGAGTGCTCTCCTCCCTCTTACACTACCCACCACTCACGAACTACCACCTCAAACCCCAAATCCGCACTCACCAATGTAACTTAATTCTGACAACCCGGCAGAACGCGCCCATCCCCGCCGGCCGCTCCATCATCTCCTGCAAGAAACTCCTCGTGCGCCTCAAAGAGAAGCACAAAGACGACATTGTCAAGATCAAGAACGGTCAGGCCTTTGCCCCTGCCGCTGCTGCTGGAGGCGACGCTGCTGCCACGCCTGAGAAACCCAAGCCCAAAGCCACACCCAAGAAGCGGAAGAGCAAGGTTGATGTCGAGGCCGGTGAGGATGGTGGTGAAGCAGATGGTTCTCCAAAGAAGAAAGCTACGCCCCGGGGTCGACCAAAGAAGAAGGTTGAGGCCAAGGAGGAGGTCAAGGAAAAGGAGGCGCTTGTAGATGAGGATGTGCTGGAGGATAGGTCTGAATGATACGCACTACGCCACGCAAGTATGCGTCGGGGACGTCTATCAGAAGATGTGTGACTGAGTGATCCACACGGCAGGCTCCACTAGGGGCGTAGGCAGTCTGAGAGCGACCGTGTTCTTCTTCCCGCTTGGGGGAAGGGACTGGATCTGGACTGGATTGGGAATTGGGTCATTTGTCACCCGAAGGGGGATCCAAAGAGCACGTCTGGGAATAATTTCAGATGAATGAATCCATGCCACTCTGTTACTTCTATCGTTCATACGCTACATCTTACACAGCTCACACCCATCCCTCTTCTCCAAAAAACCATCCTACTCCTCCCCCGCCTCAGCCTCCAACTCATCCGGCCCCATCTCCTCCCTCGCACCCCCATCCCCACACTCATGAATAATCTTCTTCCAGCCCAACGGCTGACTCGCATCCTTAACATGCTCAATAGTAGGAAAGTAGTGTTCATTCTTCTTCATCGTCGCAACCCACGGCACATTATCAAACGTCATAACCTTCATGCGGAAGTACTCGTTATCCTTGATCTTCTTGATCTCGGTGAGGAACTCGGAGAGGTTAGGCGTGGGCACGTTGTTGACGTGGGTGACGAAGTTGGTGGGCGCGAGGCCGTACATGTAGGCTGGGGAGCCGCGGGCGCGCGACGAGATGTAGACGTCGGAGTGGATTTTGCTGATTTGTTGGCGGACGGCTTGGTGCGGGCGGTGGAAGGTGGCGCCGCAGAAGCTGACGAGGCGGTCGGTTTCGAGGTCTTCGGTTGCGACGGTCGAGACTTTGATGGTCTTCTCCTCGCGCTTGCGCACAACGACGGCGTCGAGGAACTCGTTGTTGTACATGACGTCCAGATCGGGGGAGCGGGTGACGAGCTTGCCGTTGAGCGTGAGTAGGACATCACCTTCGTTGAGACCGTCGCCGTGGCCGGAGTCGACCTTGCGGACCATGAAGAGCTGGTGGCGCTCTGGGTCGGCTGTCTCGGTCTTCTCGATCCATTCCTCTGAGACACCCATGACGCGGGCTTGGCTCATTTGCACGGTCTGGAACTCGACGTTCAGGATACGTAGCTTGGGCGTGTTGCCGCCGCGGATCTCGTTGAGCACTGGCAGAAGGTTGGGTGTCGCAAGACCGAGGTGATACTCAACATCCTTTCCGCTGTGTGATGTCCGCTCACCCAGGTATGAAAGCCAGAGAGCCTGGACGGTGCCATCCTCCGCGACGAGCACACCAGATCCACTATGCGAAGCTTGGTTTGTATCCACGGTGATGGCGTCGAAGTTGGTCGCGCGGTACCTCGGTGTAATTGCGCTGGCTGGGATCGCGACTGTGGTGATATCAGTGACAACAGTCTTTGCTACGACAGGTCGGAAGTTCTGGTTGATGCCGAAGAAGATGGTCTCGGCTCCCTTCTTGATGAAGTCGGTGGCAAACTTGGGTGTCTTTACAGGGGCGTTGACAAGAGAAGCATCGTATTTGACGATAGCATAGTTCTGCAGTGGGTGCATGAAGACAACCTTGGCATCGACAAAAATGCTGTCAGCGATGATCAACGAGATGTCGCAAAGGTCATATGGCAGGATTGCTCTTGAGACGAGGACGAGACCCTGTTCAGCGTCGACAACAAGACCGTAGCCCTGTTTGTTCATCTTAGGAAAGCCGTCTAGCTTAATGGGCATAGAGACATGAACGCGGACGAAGCTGCGGACGATGTCCACAGCCTCGGGATAGCTTGAGCTCATCTTGACGAAGTTCGCACGGCGAGGAACTGGGGGCACAGATGGAATGGCATCGGCGAGGGGCTTGAAGTCCCACAGGCCAGTTTCGTCATTACGTGTTGCTACGCGAATCTTTGCATGCCAATGCCTGTCGACAGAAGTAATACTAGTGTTCGCAGTGTGCAGATCGCGCAGATGCTTGTACATCATAACCACTCGCTTGCGATCTGGGATCTTCTTCATGACTTGGATGAAAGTGTCAAGGTCGGGTGTTGGCTGGTTGTCAACTTCCTGAATCAACCACCCTGATGTGTAGCCGTCAGCGAACCTAAAGGAGCCCGCTGCCTCGCAGACGTATACACCTGCGTTCTTGAGCGAGATAGCGTAAAGACGCGCTTGCTGGTATGAGAGGTCGTGGAACGAAGCGCCTGCGACGGAGACGAACTTGTCGGGGGTGATGGCATGTAGGTCGCCAACGTCTAGCTCGACGTCCATGTTGTCCCCAGCACGCTGTATGGTCACAGAGATGGTCTTGCCAACGTTGTCGTCAAGGATCGCATCGAGTCGGACGAACTGTGTAAGCAACTCTCCGTTGACGCGTAACAGAAGATCACCTTCTTCGACCTTGGTAGATGCGGGCCCTTGAGGAAGGACGACCTCAGCTACGAGCATGCCTGTCTCCTTAGGAAACTGAGTGCGGATCTCCTTCTCCAGCTCAGGCGAGAGACCTAGCCTCCGGCACTCGTCGAATGGCTTGAGTATCCATTGAGTCTGAATGGTGCCTCTGGTGACATGTTGGCTTTGGCGGATGAGCTCGAGAGCACGGAGCGGTCGGTCTAGCGGCAGGAAGTAGTCGGTCGCAGCACCGTCAGCACGTCCGCCGGCCTGCAGCGCAACAGCAAATCCGTCGCGGTCCACGACAGGACTGCCAGAAGAACCTCCACTCGCTGCCGCTGCCGCCTGGATGTAGTTGGTGTTGAAGTCGGAGTAGCCCTCGCCGTATTCGGGCGCATTGCGATCCAGCCGACTGATGACACCCGACAAGATACTGAGCTTCTCTCCGGCATCATTACCAACGACGCGAATCTCGACACCGACCTTGGCATTATCGGGGCGCAGTTTGAGGGCGGTGACGGGCATGTACTTGATCTTCTTGGGGTCGAAGCGCAGGATGCCGAAGTCGTGGACGGGGTCGCGGTAGACGGGGTGGACGTCGCACTCCTCGTGGTTGTCGAATATGCAGTAGCCGATGAAGGGGCCGGCGCCGACAACGTGCCTGTTGGTGAGGATGTAGCCCTTCTCGGCGTCGACGACAAAGCCCGTCGCCTCTGAGCTGATGGCCGGGTCCGTGTCGAACGAACACGTCTGGCAGAAGTGTATCGACACGACGCTCTTGACCACGTTCTCTATCGTCCGCTGCCATTCTGCCGTGTCCTGCCCAGTGACGGCGGTGATGTGCGCCGACGACGGGAGGGCGTCGGGGGAGCTGTGGGCGCTGTACTCGCTGCGCGCATCGTCCATGGGCTCCTCCAGGTCAGGCGAGTGCGACATGACGCCGTTTGAGGTGTGCGAGTCTACTTCGGGCTTGATCTGCTTGTTTGGGCGGTCGGTTGCGGGCGAGGTTGGCGGTTGCTTGCGCTTGCTTGTGCCATTTTGTTCCATTGGCAGCGAGGTATTTATAGGCGGCGACGTGTGGAGGGAGCGTTTGCCGAGGGAGTGTGCGCTAGAGCTAGACAGCCTCGTGAGGTGCGGCGTGTGAAAGAGGGAGCGCGGGCGTGATGCGGACAACGGTAGGGTGCGTGAAGGTGTCGCAAGGAAGCTTCGTTTGCAGGCGGCGAGTGAGACTCGGCCAAGCAGCATGCCAATCGGGAGGACGCGCGTAAACAAAGGAAGCAGGCGCGATGCGGCTGCTGTGAATTAAATGTAGAAGGTGCAAACAAGAAGGCAAAGAAGGCAATTGATGAGTACGGAATGGCTTTCGATCGGCCAAGGATGAAAGTGCACGAAGAGCCCTGCAGCTGCATGCGCCACGGTCCCCGGTCCCTAGTGCCATCGCGAACGTCAGACTCCGCCCGGAGGTGTTGAAGCATCAACAAAGGTCGACAATTACACAACAAGATCATCATGACCATTGAAGTGAGCAATAGGGATCACTAGCTGGTTCGACTGCTGAAAGACTGCGACGAATACTTCGTGAGGCCTGAAACCGCAGACGGCATTCTAGAGGTGACATCATTCACCCGTCAATCGAGCATTGTTTCAGGAACGCATCTGCACCCGCATCAAAGACGCATCACTTGATAATGGCTAGCTTTGCAATATCTGTTCAGTTGTTCAACATAAGGATAGAAACTCTCGCCGCTTGTCACCTGTCAGGGTCTCGGTGTCACCCACCCACCTGTAGACGCATTGAACGGTCAACTCTCCGATGAAAGCCTTCCGACAGCACGTCGCAAACATATTAACTAATACAGCCATCTCAACGTCCTCGTGTGATGATCGGTCGGCATTCGCAATCCTTTGATGTGTTGAAGGCCTTCAGACTTCGGGTTCGCAGAGTCACGAATGGTTGTGATATTCTCGTTCGGGAGTGCCTCGTCGCATGACCACGATAGGCGTTGCAGAGTTTGAAAGTCACTGGGTTATCTGCGAACCGCATTCCCGATGGAGTGGAGCCTGTGACTGCCTCTAGAGTATGGCTCATCGAAGTTGTTGTTCTGACGACGCGCCGAAGCTGCCCTGATTTGGTATCGTCTAGAATGCTTGCGACATACCTTGCTTGGGAGTGGTTTTGCGCACGCATTGCGAAAGATGTCAATGGCTCGGAACCACAGGCCGACGGGACCCAAACAAAATGGAAGATCTGAGTACCCTCAAGTGACTGTTGGTTGCACTTCTCCCTCCGATGATATGCCGAACACCTCTAGGGTCTAGTCTGGTCCTTGTAAGCCAGAAATGCTCGACTATACTTGGGATATCTCTGGCTAGAATGCTCCCGCCCGAACCACGACCAGGTTCCAGTCTGAGCCAAAAGTGAAGTCTCTTCCTGGAGGCTGATATGCAGATCCTGGTATCATGGATGACCTAAGGCCTTTCAGTTCTGGTTCAACCGTTTAAAAGGATGTGACTATCTTGAGAGCATGAGTAATCAAGAATGTACCTCAGTCCAGGAAAGGGCTGGACATCCACCCATAGCAGGTGATGGAAGTCAATGACCCAGGAATCCACATTGTGTCAGCAGTTTGCAGACTTTCGTCTCAGGACCGATGTAGGCTGCAGGGTGTCCAGACTCAGTCCAATCAATTGAACGGTTGTGAAGAAAGTCGATGACCCAGGAGTCTACGTTGGGTCAAGAGTTTGCCAAACTTTGTTCCACGACCAATGTAGACTGCAGGGTGTCTAGGTTCGGTCCAATCGTTTGGATGGTGGCAACGAAAGTCAATGACCCAGGAGTCTACGTTGCGTCAAGAGTTTGCAGACTTTCGTCTCAGGACCAATGTAGACTGCAGGGTGTCCAGGTTCGGTCCAACCGCTCGGAGGGCTGTAGCTATCTTTAGAACATTAGTAACCTGGAATCCAGCTCATTCCAGGAAGAAGCTGAACGCCGCCTATAGCAGATGGAAGTACTCAAAGACCCAGGAGCCTACGTTGCATCGGGATGTCACAAGACTTTCGTTCTGAGACCCACGTAGGCTGCAGGATGCTCCGGTTTTCCTGCGCATGGAGTGAACCCAAGTTTGAGTACTTGCTATAGACTTCACATAGCGAGGCCTTGATGCGACATATCCAACGCAAAACCTGAACACCATGGGGCCTACATCGACCTTGGACCATCCAAGTTGCTAGTTTTCAACTTGATGTAGGCTGCAGGCCTGTTCTCTGACTCAACCGTATGGCGGGGTGTGACGAACTTCAGTGTATTATTAATCGAGATTTGAAATGTGTTGATACGCTGTAGTCTGCAGAGCGAAAATCTGGTAGGAGTATACCAAATTATATTATTGGTAGATTAGTGGTTCGGAGGGGTCAGGGGTGTGGCGGTGTGGCGCCGGCAAATCGTACCATGGATGCGTTCAGGGGCCTGTGCGCGGGAGTGGCCTGTGCGCGCGGAGCAATAACTCGCGTTCTGAACTCCGCTCTCCTCCATCAACTCTACACTCTTCTCTCACCAGACCCCACACTTGAAGCCACACCACAAATCACAACAATGACTTCATCAATCTTCTACAAGTTCAAGAATTCAAGGGAAAGCGAGCGCATCATCTTCAACGGCACCGATTTGAGCGTTTTCGAGCTCAAGAAGGAGATCATCAGCGCAAGCGGCCTGGGCGATGGCTCCGATTTCAACCTGCACATTTTCCCGCAAGATGAGCCCAATTCTGAGCTCAAGGACGACACCACTTTAATTCCGCGCTCATCCACAATCATCGCAATTCGGCGACCAGCTCCAAGAGGACAAGGTCGAGCAGCCCGCTACGTCACCGGCAAAGCGCCTTCGCGCGCAATTTCTTCACAATCCAAGCCAGTTCCCTCTCTACGTAGTGGACATCTCGAAAATGCCGAAGATCCTGAAGCCGCATTCTTGGCCGAATCAGCAATTGCCTGGGATGCACAGAAAGAGGCACTTTCGAACGCAAAACCAGTTTATCGAAAAAACAACTCCAAGAATGTTGTTGTCCCTTCACATCCCCCGCCTCCCGGCTATGTCTGCCGCCGCTGCAATATCAAGGGCCACTGGATCCAAGCCTGCCCAACAAACGACGATCCCGATTTCAAGCCTGTTTTCCAAGCCAAACGTACTACTGGAATTCCTCAATCTTTCTTGAAGAAAGTTGAAAAGCCAGTCGACGAAGAGGCTGCAAAGGGCATCATGTTGAACGCCGACGGAGAGTATGTTCAGGTCATGGCAGATACAAAGACTTGGAACAAATTCCAAGAAAAGACCAGCCTGTCTCGCCAACAAGCCGCCAACGCTGATGCAGCAAGCAAAGAGCTTGCTGAACGCGGTCTGCAATGTCCGCTCGACAATCAAAGATTTGTCGACCCAGTCAAAACCCCTTGCTGCGGCAAGACATACTGTCGAGAATGCATCGACAACGCGCTAGCAGATGGGGACTTAATTTGTCCGAACTGTTCAAAGGAGGATGTTCTGATGGATGATCTCGTCGCTGACGACGACATGGTCAAATCTCTCAAGGCATACGACGCAGAGAAGGCAGAGAAGGACAAGGCAGCAAAGGCAGTCGCTTCAACAAATGAATCAGTTAATCAATCCAATGCTACTGACACCGCATCTCCCTCTGTCGCAAATGACGATACAACTGCTTCCGCCACTGCTACTACTACTGCAGTGGCTGACGAAGTCTCCGATACTGACTCAACCTCTTCAAAGAAGCGCAAAGAGCCTCCGACAGACATCAAGCCTCCCACCGCGCCGAAAGCCATGCGTCAAGCCGCCGACCCCGCCTCGAAGATGGAACAAGACTTTATACAACAGATGGAGATGCTCAAGAACACACCGATGGGCGCCATGGGAATGCAGATGGGTATGCCTATGCAAATGGGTATGCCTCAGCAGATGGGCTTCCCGAACAACTTTCAGAACGGCTACCAGATGGGCTTCCAGCCGCAGCAACAACAGCAGCAGATGCCGCAGCAGCAATGGTATCCCCAGCAGAACTTCGGCTACGGCGGCCAGCAGCAGTACGGTCAACAGTACGGCCAGCAACAACCTCAGCAGCAACAGTTTGGATGGGGCGGACAAGCGCAGACACAAGGACAAGGACAAGGACAATGGGGCAGCGCGCAGGGCCAGGCGCAAGGGCAGCAAGACCCCAACGATGCGTACGACAGGCAGCCCGTCAACCCTCGCGGTCGCAACCGCAGGTCTCGCGCACCGGACTACCGCTATCTTTGAGCAGTAGGAACGTTTCTAGTCCGCTCTCATCGTATCACGACACTACCACACTCGAAACCACATCACACATCACAACAACGGCTTCATGAACTTTTACGGCGAGCATCGGCATTGGGCAGGCATTCACACGGCGTTACTCTCACCTTTACGACAAGCGACCATGGGCATGCATCAAGGGCGGACAGGGAAATACCGGTTCAGCATGGAGCGAGGGCGTTTTTGACATTTACCTGTCCACGGCGTTTCTGGGATTATTTTGACTTTTTATCGGGGTGTTTCTGAGATCGCTTTGGCTCTCACTCGGCGTTTCTGGGATTACATTTGACTTTTTTCTGCGTGCTTTACAGACTTCACATTAGTTAGTTATCATGAAATGCATACCACAAAACACCCAGTGTTATACCTCTTCTGCGCTTTCCTCAGTGAAGATTACTCGAAAAGTGATGCGGCGTGCAGACTACATGGGTTCACGATCTTGTCAGTTGCGACGTGCTGGTGCGATGTAGCTCTTACGCTTCATACTCATCGCCAGTCCAAGAGGATCACTACTACATATCTGATAACCCCATATCGACTACATGGGCCCACAGTCTCATCAGTTGCGACGTGTCAGTGTGATGTAGTCCTTACGCTTCACCCACATCGCCAGTCCAAGAAGATCACTACTACACATCTGACGACCCCATACCGACTACATGGGCCCACGATCTCATCAGTTGTGACCAGCCCGTGTGATGTAGCCCTT